TAAGCTTATCATATATAAAGTTTGTATTTTAATATAATGTGAAAATTGACAAGTTGAGTTTCAACAAAAAATTATCCATATATAATAAATTAGTTTTAAATTAAATGCAAGTTTTCTATCGAAACTCACATGTTAATTTCACAACAATCCTCTTTCATCCCTAAATTCACTACACTTGTATTCCATATAATTCAAATTTAAGATTTTTTATTTTTATTGAATAGAAATTATCACAAAATAATTTAAATTGTTGGCTTATATATAAAAATATATATATTTTCTAAATCTTGTAATTTTTGTTATTTGTGCACTTATAAATTATATATATGGAGTAGGGTAAGTGTCTATTTATATATAAATATTATATAATACATTTATATAAAATTTTAATTAATTATTTTTTTTATTTTTAATAATTAAAATTTATTTATATTTATTTTTAATAAACATAATCACATGATTCACGTGAACTCCCTAATCAACCCAAAATGGTCAAAAAAATGCCGAGGAGCAATATATAAAAAATTAGCCTGTCTAATCAGACATGATAATAATGTCAAACAACTTGTCCCCTCCATCAAAATTAAAGCAAACAAACAAAAATCCAACAACCGGAGTCTGGAGAGGATCTATATTTGATTGGGCAAAATTATATTAAAAATTTTTATTGATCCCCCAAAATTGATACTCAAAGAATACATTCACTCCACAATTCCCATAGATTAATTAAAAATGCTACATGTTTAGTATCACGTTATGTTACGTACCCTATAATATTACAGCGCATATTTTGTTTTGTAAAATGTGATATGGCAGTGCTTAGCTTTTATATTCTAATTGCTTATTCTTTCTATATATATAGGGCTTCAATCGAAACATTCTGCATGAGAGACATACAAACATGGAAGAAGAAGCAAAAGCAGGAGTGGATATCTGGAGCTACGCGTTCGGGTTTGTCAAAATGGCAGTAGCCAAATGCGCCATTGAGCTCGGGATCCCCGATGCCATTGGAAGCCATGAAAACCCCATTTCCCTGTCGGAACTGTCCTCCGTCCTAGGCTGTGAACCGTCGCGTCTCCACCGCATCATGAGGTTCTTAGTGCAGTTCCAAGTATTCAGCGAGAAACCCACGAGCCAGGGCGCCACAGGGTACGTACACACACCTCTGTCTCGGCGTCTGATGAAACAGAGTGAAAACAGCATAGCGGCTCTGCTTCTGTTTGAGTGCACCCCTGTTATGCTAGCACCGTGGCATTGCTTGAGCGCTTGGGTCCAATCCCGAGAGGATATTCCGTTTGTGGCAGCCCATGGCAAGGATTTGTGGAGTTATGCAGCCGAGGATGCTAGTCACAGCAAGCTCTTGAACGACGCAATGGCTTGCCTTGCTAGAACATCAGTCACTGCCGTAATAAACGGCTGTCCGGATGTGTTTGATGGAGTTGGAAGTTTGGTTGATGTTGGAGGCGGAAATGGGACAACTTCGAGGATGTTGGTTAAGACATTTCCATGGATCAAAGGCATCAACTTCGATCTTCCCCACGTTGTCTCTGTTGCCCCAGAATCCGACACCATCCAGAATGTAGGAGGTAACATGTTTCAAGGCATTCCAAAGGCTCATGCTGCTTTCCTCATGGTCAGTAAGATATCATAACATCTAATTTTCCATTGCTTTCAAGAAAAATCAAATTTATATACAGTTTTTTTTAATTAATGTTCTATGAATCACAGTCGGTTTTGCATGATTGGGACGACGATGAATGCATCAACATTCTGAAGAAGTGCAAAGAAGCTATCCCACCGGAGAATGGGAAGGTGATTATAGTTGAAGCTGTGATCGGAGAGAAAGATGATGATGATAGGCTGGATTTCGTTAGGTGGACGCTTGACATGATTATGATGGCTCATGCGAACAGAGGCAAAGAGAGGACCCTAAAAGAATGGGACTATGTTCTTACGAAGGCTGGATTTAGTAGATACAATGTAAGACGCATTCCTGCAATTCCATCTTTAATTGAAGCTTTTCCTTAGAAAATCTGAAGTTTCCTCAATAATGAAAGAGATTTGATCTTATTTCAATTCTCATCCAAGGTTGGAACCTTTGTAGTGCTATAAAAGCACTAACTTTTACTTGGTTGTTATTTACTTGTTGAAAGTAATAAAAGCTACAATATTAAGTGATATTATAAATATTATATTAATTATCATTTACTTAAACTATAATGTATTTATTTAGTATACTTTTATTTTAAATTTACCTCTATTATTATTGTAACTTATTAATGAAATACCATGGATTTTTCTTACACTTTGTTTGTATTGGAGAAGTTAGAGAGGAAAGGAAAGAGAGTAAAAGGGAGAAAGCACCTTTGATTTGGATGATAATTTCTTTTGATTCTCACGAGATCTTATGAGAATCCCCACCATAGGGACGGGTGGAGACAGGGGAGTTTTTCCCTCATGAATTTATATGGGGAAATTTTTCCTTCACACAGCACCCCATGGGAATCCCATCATTGTGAATTTTTTTTTAAACATATATTAATTTTATTTTAAATTTAATCCAATCCAATATGTTAATATATTTCAAACCAACTCAATTATTCATTTTGAGTTAATCTTTATTTATATTTGGATAATTTATATTTAATTTTATCACTTATCTATTGATTTTATTGGTTACAACTAATTGTATTTATGTACTTTGTAAAAGAATAGTTTTTTTTTTTTGAACATATTTGCAAGGGACGGGTTTCGAACCCAGCCCGGGGAAGGGGAAATCCACCGGGGTGGCTATTACCACTAGGCCGCAAGGGCCAGGTGCTTGTAAAGGAATAGTTTAGATGTTATTATTGTTGTACAAGGAATAAATTGTTGGTTTAGTTATTCATATTGGATTTATTTTTATTTACATTTGGATAATTTATTTTTGATTTGATGTTTAAAAAACTTTTTATATAATTGTGTTTGAACTTTTAAAATTTTGTCTATTATAATTAAATATTAGTTGATTATAAATAAAAAAAATTGTATTTTAATATACATTGGTGTGGGAACAAGGATAAAGGCAAACTCTATCTTGTCAAAAATCCTCACAAGAATCCTTGTCTCTGCATGGTTTTGTTGTCACCCCTACCTTTGATTGCTTAGATTAATAATTTTAATGTAGAGGAAGGAGATGAGGGAAGAGGGAGTTCCCTTTACTCTTTTGTTTTTAATACTTCTAATTTCTATTTTCAAAAAAAAAATACTTCTAATTTGAAAGGATTAAGATGAATTATATTATTCAATTTATTTTTTTATTTTTTTAATTTTTTTAAATAAAAAATATAAATATTTTATTTTAACTATTTATTTAACTAATAAATTTTAAAAATTTTATTATTTTATTTTATTTTTTAAAATGATTTAATTAAAAAAATATATTATTCTTTTCTCTCCTTAATTTTCATCTATCT